GTGCAGAATAGCATTGCGGTGGCATGGCCTGGTGGTTGGCCTGCCCACAGGTGGAGGGGAGCAGGAGCTCCCAGCCCTCAGATGAGCCAGCTTAGGGTGGGCAGGCATTATTTAAAAACCTGCTTGTGTGCTTCTGTTGGTGGTGAAACAGCACCAGAATGTCACCGGTAACTGGAACTGAATTCAGAGATCTCAGTTCTTGAGTTCTGGCTAAGAAATAATTCAGATACAAGACTCAAAGGGTAAGAGGAAGTTTATTTAGAAAGTTACAGAAGTAGGAAGTGAGCTAGCTGGGTGTGAGCTCAGGAAACAAATTACGGAGGCCAACGATGAGCCCTTGGAGCTTAGGAAAGAGAAAGGTAAAGGTAAAGCACGGGGAGAAGATGTGGGGGAAGTTGTGCGCCAGGGAGGGAGAGGGCACTGGGCCACCCGTCTTGAGGGTATGTACCTGGAGGTCTCAGGGATGGATCCCAATAGAATATTCATCAGCTTTCCAGGTGTGTCCTTTCAGAGTCATGGTCTCTGCTGATTGGTGGGCCCCAGGGCAGGGGTCATTAGTCAATGCAGCTGGTCCTGATCTCAGCTACCGCATCACTTGTCTTGTTTTGCTACTTTTCTGGGCCTGGAGCTGAAACACAACTGAGGCATAGGGGTTAATGCTGAAGGGAGGGGTCCATCAAGGGCCTACATGGGAGTTGAATGAGACCACTCTTCGGCCCTTGTTCCTCCTCTGAAGGGGACTACCGCATGACTAATGACATGCCAGGGGAGGGAAGGTCAGGGGAGGGTCAGAACCTCATGACCAGCGATATGAAAGGTCAGGGGGTCCAAACCACATGACAGATGAGGCACTTGGAACACAGAGAGGTTACGTGATACACTAGGGGAGGAAAGGTTACCTTGGGGGTGAGGTCCTTTTTACCCAAATTTGCCTGTTGCTAGGCACGCAGAGCTTTCTGCCTTGGTGACCTTCTGTACCTGGCCCGTCATCCTTGCTCTGCTCAGGTCGGTCTAACTGCCTCCCACAGTTCTCTGACATCAGGGGCAGGTGTTGGAGGAGGCATGGGCAAACAAGTAAGAAGGTTGGGGCAGGAGAAGGCAGCCTTGGGAATAACATTGGCTGCCAGTAACCCACAGAGGCCCTGCTGTAAGAAATGTCACTTACTTATTGACTACTTACTTATTGACTGCATGTACACTAAAGGTCCAGTTCACAGACACTGTCTCTCATCTTCACAACATAATACAACCGATTTCCAAATTTCAGACAGTAGGAGAGGTTCTGAGAGGTTAGGTGACTTGCTTAACAACCCAATCAGGATGCAGCCAAGTGGGCACACTCCACAGGGTGATCTACACTTCCACAGGCAAAGAGATGCCCACCTGTTAGAGTCCTCACATCCCCAATAGCATCCCTTCCTGGTCTTATCATCTCTCTTCTTTGGCATACCATAGTTGAAACAACCAAGGCCAAGAGGCAATTATCTCCAGAAAGGCTTTGTGGAACTGTGTAATCAGTGAAGTTACTGGAGCAGGCCATTCTCTGGAGAGGCTCTGGAAGACTCCAGCTGGCCCTGAAGAGCCCAAGACCTGTGAGTTGGTGATAAAGGTGGAGAGCAAGTGGAGGCCCAACCCTAGGAACCTGGGAACAACACTTGTGGGATGGGCTCTACTGGGGCCCCAGCCATGTGGAGAGGGGAAAGAGGAGGAGAAAATCTAGGAAACCCCTCCCACTGTGAGAGCAGGCCCCAGGTGCCTGGCTGTGTGGTGGGGGCACCCTGAAAGACCAGCTTCCTAAAGCAGGATGATAAAGCCATGATTTTGCCCACGCACCTCAGATATATGCTCACTAGTAACATGACAAATAGGCTTAGTATTTATGACTGCATCACCTCGGGTTTTATGGGGTATTTTTGCTCCAGAAACTCGACCCGCTTTCATATAGAGCTGCTCATTTCCTGCTAACAAAGCTGGCTTCAGGGCTCCTATAATTATCAACATTTTATAGTTGGAGAAACCGGCCCCACAGAGGAAAAGCAGGATGTGCTGAGAAACAAAAGTAGTCCCAGGTCCCTGCTCACCTGGCCCACTGTTAAGATCATCTTCAAGAAGAATTAGGTTGGGCCATACCTCACCCTAACCAAACCTTGAACACTCGCCGGGGGCCTTCTCTTTGTAGAAGGAGTCTAGGTGCCTTCATTCACTGGCTTTCTGGCTACTCGGCTCTGTCAGACCCTTCCTGAGCTCTGACACGGGGATAGTTGGCTCCAGAATAGTGCTGTTCAATAGGAATCCAATGTGAACCACACAGGCCATTTAAAATGTTCTAGTAGCCACTGCTAGTCTAGAAGTTACTTAAAACGTTAACAGAAACTAGTGAGATTAATTTCAAAATATATCCAAAATATTTTGATATGTAATTAATATACAAAATCAGTAATGGAACGTTTAACATTCTTTTAACTTATGGAATCCATGGGATCCTCTGGGTATTTCACACTGAAAGCACGTATCAGTTCAGACTACCCACGTTTCACGTGTTCTATATTCACACGTGGCTGGTGGCGCCAGGCCTGGACTGCCCAGACCTGTAAGATTTTGCTGTGAGGATGAGGTGACACCGTGTATGTAAGGCTGGTACTTTGGCTGAAGCGTGGCTATTCTATTTACATTCATCCCTTTCCCCCTCTCTCTGCCACACAGCCTCGCATAATTTTCCACAGGTAAGTGGCCTTTACAAGGACCCAAGACCCAAAGCAGACAAATCCGGCACCGCGTCCCTTTCCCTAGCCCCTCCCAAACCGACCATCTTCCTGACACGCAGAGGGGAGAGCAGCCCACCCTCCCTCCTTGTTTTCCTTGAAGCCAGCTGCCCGCCCATCGTTCTCACCGGGAACACCCACTCCTCCCCACTTGCAGGCCCCCTGGGTTCATAATCGCCGCGAATCCCTCTTTGCCCCCCCCCTCCCCCCCAATTGAAAGAGAACGAGGCTCGGGACGCAGGAAACCTCAGCGAGCCGCTGTCGACTCCACTGTAAATTCTGGGCTCCCCACTCCACAAGGGTGCTGGGTGCCTCTCGCCCTCCCCCGCCCGGGAGGCAAGGACGCTGTTTGGAGGCAGCCACTCCTCCGGGTCCCAGGACCCAGGTCTCCAAAGCCTCTCAGGGACCCGGAGGGACGGGGTGGGTTGGGGTGGGGATTCGGCTTTCTTGAATAACCCAGTGCAGGGTATGGTGGGCTCCAGTCCCCGTCCCGCCGCCCTCCCAGTCCCGAGGTCCAGCGCCTCCACTCGCTCCGCAGCCGGCACCATGCGCGAGATCGTGCACATCCAGGCGGGCCAGTGCGGCAACCAGATCGGCGCCAAGGTGGGCGCGTCCCCGAAGAGGGGGCCTGGAGGGGGGCGGGACCCG